TTGAATCGGTGACATCAAAATAGGAGGTTTGCTGGGTGTTTTATTATTTTAGTTATTTATTTTTGGAACCATGGGTTACGCATGATAGGTCGTGGTTATTGATGTTGGTTTATTTTGGTTATTGGATAATTGTTGGATGATTACTGGCTTAGTAATTTAATTGTTGGTTTAGTTTCCGATGTGGTTTTCCTATTGTTTTAATTTGTTGGTTGAATATTAATTATGGGGTTAATATCGATGAATTAAAATGACAAAACGGGATGGGTCGTTTCACACTCAATCTTGATTGGTTCGTCTATATCTAGCATTGATGAACTTGTTTGTTAATGTTTGGTTTTGTTTGTTAGTATCGATTCATAGTACCGCTGAGTTTATTGTTGAATCGGTGACATCAAAATAGGAGGTTTGCTGTTTATGAATTTTCTATCCAATTTGAAATCTTTTATGAATTGCTCTTGTGTCAGTTTAACAACACTTTTTTGGTTCTTTTGTCAATTTTTTTTTTCTGCGTAAGAAGAGTTTTGAATGTTAGTTTTCTTACATTGAACAAGAAAAAATTGATCAACAATCAAAAGAAAGAATTGACGTTGCAGAAGATGAGTACCTGAAGATGAATGTTGAAGTGGACACTCAAGGATAAACACAAAGTGTCACTCAACCATCTCAACCATCTAATGCAGCTCAACCAGTATGTAAACAACATAAAGGTAAATGTTGGATAGCGTTTACATATGTAGGAATAAAGGATGATGGAAAAAAAAGAGTTACATGTCACAATTGCAGTATTAAGTTAGTAGTAGATAAGACATATGGAACATCAACCATGAACCGTCTTCACCTTTTAATTTGTCCACTAAGGCGTCAGCCTGAGGATAGACCTAAGTACGATCATAAAATAGAGAGACTATTGCTGAGATAATCATTTATCATAATCAGATATCATGATCTACCTTTTAGGTATGTTGAACATGAGAATGTTAGGTCTAGAGAGAGATTTCAAAGCTGCTGCTCTTGATGTCTACAAGTTATATGAGATAGAAAAACTTAAATAGAGGTTTCGAAAGAACACAAAGTTCAGGTTCGTTTAACTTTAGATTTATGGTCTGCCCGAAATACGGTGATGGGTTATATATGTGTAAATGTGGACTATACTGATGATACATGGGGTTAAATAATAAGTTTGAAGTTTTTGTGATCTTAAGCCTCCTCACAATTGTGAAGAGGTTGCTAAGAAGATTTATGATTGCTTAAAAGAATGGGGCTTAGAGAAAAAGATATTTACTATCACATTGGATAATGCTTCTGAAAACAATAATATGCAAAACTATTCTTAAGCATCGTCTTTAGAGTGGTATTGGCTTGTTGTGTGAAAGGAAATTTTTGCACGTGATGTGTTGTGCAAGCAAGATTAGATGTAGCTAGTAGTCTTTTGGAAAATATTCGAGATAGTGTGAAGTTTTTGAAAGCTACCGAGTTAATGAAAGAATCATTTGCAGCATGCGTTAAGAATATAGGGATCAAAAGTGGAGCTAGTTTATCTCTTAACGTCCCTACTCGCTGGAACTCAACGTATGAGATGCTTGCTAGAGCCTTATAATTTAGAAAAGCATTTGGTATTTTGAATTTGTATGAGAGAAGTTACAGTTCATTGCGAACAGAAGTATAATGGGATCGTGGAGAGAAAATCTGTGATCTTCTGAAGCCTTTCAATACCATTGCCATATACTTTCAGGAGTGAAATACTCAACAGCCAATGTTTATTTTATTCAAGTGTGGAAAATGGAGCAGTTACTAAAGAAATATGCTAACTGTGATGATGTTGATGTGAGAGCAATGGTTCAAATGATGCAAAAGAAGTTTGCAAAATATTGGTCTCAATACAATGTTATTCTAAAAATGGGAGGTCTTTTGGATCCAAGACTAAAATTACAAATTCTTAGGTCAACTTATGAAAAAGTGGATTTCATCACTGCCGAGGAAAATGTTGAGATTATTAGGTAAATCTGATTGCGCTTTATGCAGAATATAACTCTGATTCTACAAGTTGATCAAAGTCTTCAACAACACTAACTCCACATGAGCTTCTCACTGAATCATCACTTGAGGATGATGTGGAAAAGATATTGAAATTCAATATTTTTTTCACTACATTATTGCTAAAGAACGAAGTATTATTTTCAATGTGTATTTTGTATATCACAGGATCTCTTTGAGCTTGAAAGTACCCTCAAATCTAGATCAAGAATTGCCAAGTCAACTTTGCAAGTCTATTTTCATGATGAACTACGACTAGAGATGAAGAATTTTTCAGACATGGAAATTTTAAACTTTTGGAAAGAGAACCTAAATCGGTATGGTGATTTAGCTTCCATGGCAGCTGATTTACTTAGCATCCCAATCACTAGAGTAGTATCACAGTCAGCTTTTAGCGTTGGAGGTCATGTATTAAATTGATATGATTATGGGAAGCTTCAAAACATGTCATCATTGATTTAAGAGCATCTCCAACCCACCTCTATTTTTGTCTCTAAACTCTATTTTATAGCAAATTTTGCTCCAACCCACCTCTATATCCACCTCTATTATAGAGATTGCTATTTTTATCTCTATATATAGAGGAAATCTATTTTTTCCTCTATAAATAGAGGTGAACTATTTTATTTGCAAAGTAGTCCTTTTAATCTCAAACTTCTTTTATTTATGAATAAAATAAATAAATAAATATATTTAATAACTAATAATAATATAAATTATTTTAAAGTTTTTAATATAAATATATATTCTAAAATCTGAGACTACCATTTGCAAAAGTTAATATATATAAATAATAGATTTTATTTTATTGAAGAAAAAAAAAGATTTATTTTTTCATTTATTCTATAATAATACTTTTAATACAAAAAAATTACTTAATACTCTCCTAAATTACTTCTGGATCCACCAATGTCGTTAAAGTATTGTCCAAACGATCTAAACGAAGTAGATGGAGGAGGAGCTTGTTGGTTTTGTTGTTGATCATTCCGCTTTTTTATAATTCATGCTTGTTCTGCCTCAAAATATCCACGAACATGTATAATTTTACATAATATGATAATTGAGGATGAACGTGATCTCGATGCACCGATTGAAGTTGAAAGAGAAGTTCCACCTCCAGCGATCTAAATAGCAGAAGATGATGATATTCATTTCCAAAAGTTTCTATGTCGATTCAGAAAGATAAGAGATAAAGAAGCTCATTTCTCACTTCGAAATGCATTAGTTGATCATTTGTGGGAAAAATACACTTATGCTGATGGTTAAGAATCTAGTATCTTATTGTTTTTTATGTAATGTAATGTACTTTTTAATAAAAAAAATATCATATAATATGAAGTTTTTATAATAAATGTTTAATTTAAATAAAAGTAATTATTTTATTAAAATTTTATAAAAGTTAAAGTAAATGGGTTATATATGGTGTTAATATTAAAATTTTAAAAGAATCTATTTGAAATATTCTATTATAAATGATAAAATAGAGGAAACCATTGGAGCAGGTTCCTCTATTATAGAGGCAAAAATAGCAAAAACTATTGGAGATGGTATAAGCGTATCTTCTCAACCACGAAGAATCTATGCACGAAACGACTTGGAGAAGATGCTTAGCTCAACTACAGAACTCCTCAAAGAAGAATCAAGTCAAACGGAGTTGAGACGAATGAGTTATTCATTTTACAAATCAGGTGTTCTCCAGTTTACCCGATTCAGATATGCGTCCATTCAACGAAGGATTCCAAACGGGACAGAATGATTAAGCTACAAATCGAGTTGTTCTACAATCTTGGTCCATGAGAGAAGCCTAACTAAGTGGATTCAGCCCAAAAAGAATGAAGGAAGATCAATTTTGTCCATAGCAAAACATCATTTAATTCTTTCGATTTCTCTCTCTTACGTGCACTTTAGAGTTTGAATTTCATTTTCCTAGATGCTTTGCATGTTGAGCTATTATTATGGACGTTTTTGATGCATTAAATTTTTCTCAGAATCCTTGCAAAAATACAATAGTAGATGTGATGTTCTATCGATGACATTTAATAATAAGAATTAAAAAAAATTCTTAAATATAAATAAAAACTAAAAAATTATAAAGGAAACATGGCTTAACCCGATTATATAAAATTTCAGGGCTTTAAAAATGTTAAAGCTTATAGCTTGAAATAAAGAAGACTGGCCTGGACTTAAAAACCCTATTTAAATGGTAACATGTAAGTAGAATTTAGGTCATGTTCTTTTAGTAAACGCTGCGATAGCGGCTGCGATAAAATAAAACGAGGTGTCAAAAAAGTAGTTGTAATGTTAAACGACACCGTGGACTTCAAAATTACAGATCTAGATGAGTCGCAGACGGAATCCGTTGAGTCGCGACGGCAGCCGTTGAGCCGCCGAAAATAATAGCGACACATCCATCTTCATCAGCGCTCATCACTTGCGACGGTTGCGACTCTTCTCATTTCATTTTTGTGTATTCTTCTCTCTTGTAAAACTGTTTTTCTTCTCTATTATCGCTGTCGCAGCGTTTAACAAAAGAACAAGGCCTTACTCTTATAGGGGTCAACTTTTATCTAATTACCAAATTCTCTTAATTTTTTTTTTCTAGTAAGGGTCAGTAAACATATTTCTAACTATTTTATGGGGGTCAATAAGCACATATTTATCTATTTTCTGAATTTTGTTTTAAAAAATACAAGTAAATAATTTTTTTTTGTAAATTCATGGGGCTCAATTGACACCCTTACTAACCCTCTACCTCTTCCCTGGGTAACATCTCTATCTATGACCAAGAAAGTAATAAATTTACTTTAAGATAACCGTAAAATTTTCCGAAAAATGTAACTTCACGAACAAATCATATATGAAAAAATCAAAAATGGCGACTATATGTTACTATACTTTTGATTAAATCGAAAGACATAAGAAAAAAATAGGATTTAATGAGATAATTTCGAAGAAGAAGAAAGAAGATCATAAAGTATGAATTTTATATTTGTACAACCTAATATTAATAACTAAAATCACAACAACAAATAAAAAAAAAAGCTTTTGATTGATCCAAAAAGCCAAACTCAAACAGTTGCTACTTTCAACTGATGAGCTCCATTGGGTTGAATCTGCAAACTCCGTAATTGACAACCACCACCACCAGATCTTCTCATCCACAGATTCTCTCCGGCTTTATCTCCGGCACCACCGTCATGCTTCTTCTTAACCACCGGTAACGGAGGATCCAATTGAGCAACGTCGATAACAACAATCTTTTTGTTATCAAACTCCTCTTTTCTGATTCTTCCACGACTAGTCTTGGTCGTGGTGGTGGTGGGAGCTGAGAAGGTTAGGTTCTTGCCGGAGAAGAGACGTTTAAGCTTGAAGTAACGGTGGTGAGTGGCTGGGGTGATGGAGGAGGAAGTGGTGGTGGGATAGCCACCGATCTTGTTGCTTCTTTTGACTTGACCAATGCAGCTTATCTTGGGAGACAAAGGATCGGTTTTATGGTCTTCTTGATGTAATTTAGTCGGGACGGTCACGTTCTTGATGGAAGGTCTTGAACATAACATTGGTATGAAAGTGTTTCTTTGGAACTGAACACTGTTTTGTCTCGTCTCCATCATCTTGAATCCAATAGATCTTTTTTCTTGATTACTCTTAAGAGACAAGAGATATGAAATTTCTTGATAACACAAAAGGACTTAGTTTCTCATGTGAGAAAGAGAGAGAGAGGAGAGTTTGGGTTTGTGGTAGTTAGAAAGCTTTGATGCATGGTTAAAATAAGGAGATAGAGAGGGCTTTGGTCAAAGTGGCTTTATCATTATTTTTTGGGTTTCATCACATTCACAATCACTTTCAGATTTCTTTCCACAAAACTGTCTTCTTCTCAATCTGGTCAATTATATTTTCTGTAAATATATTATTTCGTAAGGAATATCTGCTTTTTAAAAAATAATTGAGATTTGGCTTGTAGGTAGGAAATGAAATAATTGAGAGTATTGTCATTTTTAAAATAGTTATTAAATTATTTCATTTCTGTATATGAAAGATATATTTCGAATCATATTTTTACTACAATATAATTTTATTCATATTACAGTACACTTTTTAAAATGATTTATGTAGTATTAACAAAAATTCTTTTACTTAAAAGAATAGTAGTTTTTTTTAAAACATACTTTATTATTATGACATATATGTTCCATGCTTTTAAATATATTTCATTTTTGTTAAATCGATGACTTAATTTAGTAAAAAACAAGAAGAGAGAGCAAAATTATGCTTACTAATTTATGGTAACATTTCAGTATATACTATTTCTTATGTCACAGTTGATACCCTACCCCCAAATGTAAGCATCAGTTTCGAATTTTGCATGAGGAAATGGGACAACGCTTACATAGACCGCATACAGTTCATGTTGATACTCTTATGATATATAAATAAACACCATATAGTATATGATATTTAACTTATAAATCTTACCATTAATGTTTTTATAATTTGGTGGCACCATTTGTACCGTGTAGCATTTGAAATATTGAAAATAATTGAAACTAATACCCTGTCAGATTAATAATGTGACTCAAACGGTAATCTAGTTTATTACAACTTTTTTTTTTGTATATACAATATAATACACTTAATGAATTTATTAGTTAAATGGATCATAATAATTCAATGATAATCCGGTCAGTTAAATTTATAGTTTTTCATCTAATTTAAGTTATAATAAATACTACAATATGAGATTAAATGGTTGCGGAAATTTGGACAGACAATTTTATTTGTGAATTAAACCGTTTATTATTATTATTTATAAATATATTATGTGGTAATGCTATAAAAAAATAGAACAATCCACGGACTAATTACGAACTACTTTACATAAAAAGAAATTTTGTTCTCTGTAAATCGTTTTAGAGATCATAAAATATTGTAATATGCTTATGGTTTAAATCGTTTTGCCCGCAACATCCAAACTAAAATTTTAAAATTAGTAGTAAGAATGATTTAACATTAAGGAAAAAAAAAAAAACATTAACGAAGTTATTATTAATGACTAATAAAAATTTAAAAGAACAAAAAAAAAAAAAAACAAGAACTACGAAGTCTAGTTGAAGTTGGTTCAATTTTTGAGTCGCACTTACCACTCGCGTGAATATAAAACTCATCATTTTGATGCCTACATTTATTGAGCCTGCAAAAAACATATTAAATGGTTATATCATTAAGATTGAGTTTAGTTTAATAATTGCTCTAAACTTGTAGTTTTATCTTTTCCCTAGAAGAGGTCCAAATTTGATGGTAAAATACTAAAAGTTATTTGAATTATGTACTAATGTCTACTGTCTTTGTCCCCTTCTTCCAATACACACTTCAGTCTACTTTTTCATTTTATAATCAGTGTTGTATTATTTGGATCTCTTGGAAATATTTATTTAGCATAGCCAGTTTTAGCCACTATATGACATTTTTTAAGTTTATAATGGTAATCTTTAAGACTGTTTTTAGAAATAAAAAAAGATATTATTTTTAGACTTATATCGAAAAATAACTAAATAAGATAAACTCAAATCAATACTAAATCTTTCGATTTTCGAAATAAAAAGAATAAAGCTGAAACGATAAGATCGACCACATGGATTGGGCCGTTTCACTATCTCAAGTATTGCTTCACGATTCGGTCCATCATAATATTTTTATTTTAACTCAATTGCTAGACGCTAGTCGGACCTTCTAGGTAAGCCTAGCGCATAGCAAAAAAAAATCGTATTAGGATTAAATTGGTGTATCTTAATTTTATCTAATACTCCAATAATAGATAGTATACATATGTCTTAAAAATAGTCTTTCGTTACTAACTTTCACGTGGTTTGTTGGATTAATCATTTCATTAAGACTGAAGAGTACCTAAACAGACATCACTGCTGTTTTTTCAAACAAAGAAAAAAACACATCAATGTTGTGTTTGGATAGATTTGTACCAAACAATTTATAAAGTTTCATAATCGCGTAATTTGCTCAAAACTTTATTGATTTTTTAGTTGTCTTTTCTAAATCTAAGATTCATAATTGCCAACCTTATGTATACAAATTTGGACTGGCTTATATAACAAAAAACGACTTAATTTAAATTTATGTAAAATAAATATAGTAAGCTGAAAATCATAAAAATGTAAGTTATGTAACCTGTCTAATTTTTTTCAAACACGCTTAAGAGGTTGTTCCGATATGACACACAAATTTTATTTCTGTTTATAATTAAGAAGGTCAAAATTCATAATTATGAGGTTGAAAACAAGAAGCATAATTATGAGATTTTGTTTCTTACGTTAACTCTAATATGTTAAATCTTACATCTCATCAGTGTGCTTTTTTTTTGTCGTCCTCATCAACGTTTAAAAGATCACATACGTAATGTAATATAAATAAATAAATAATACATATTCTAACATAAAATAGAAGGATGCATATGGTCATCACTATTAAGCAAATTATATAATACTTGATGGATCTATGTTGCCTAATAATACAATGGACTCTGTACTACATTACTAATCTGACGTACTTAACAAAACAAATAATCTTACACCGAAACAATGATTTGTAACAATGGAAACCAAAGTGATTATAGAAAGAGATTAATGTTATAAACTAAAAACTTAGTTTATCATCTATGTCTAGTAAAGAGAGACCCACATGAGAAACAAAGTGAATCAAATGACAGATCTATAAAGTAGGAAAAAAACAAAAGAAGAAGGTTAGTATAACAAAGACGATTAGATTGGTAATAGATTCAATATATAAAAATGGTGAGATGTACACAACTCACCCGACCGCACTGCATGTGCCTTAGCACGTGAAAAGTACGTTACTCGTGATTTCAACTTTATCGTAGTTTCCTCCATAGTCCACACACACGATTGGGACTAATGGACATTTGGGATAATGGTAGAGAAAGAGCGTGACGAGTTTATAAAGGACAACAACATGTGTCCAAGAAACAAAAACCACTTACTGTTTGGACAATAAGTCTAGCTAAGGAGTCTACGTATGACTTGTCACCAAAGCAAAAGACCCATCACAGCTTTGCTGTTCTCAACTCACAATATTATATGAGTTTTGTTATGTTCAGTTTCATTTAATACAAAAAGGATTCTAATCCTGAATACTGAATCCACTGTTAGGAACTTGAAAAGTTTGGAATACTAACAAGTTACATTAGCTGTCAATACTGTTCATTGACACCTTCGTGCGCCGATTAAACTAGTCAAATTTATTCTGTGTTGATGGTGAACCAACTAAAACAAAAAACAATGCACGAGCTGTTGGGCCCAAAACAAAAGAAATTGGGATGTAAAGTTAGCGAAGACAGATCAGACTAAGATATTAAAAAAAAAAAATATTCGCAGATATACGAATTATACGTCAACACATATATATAAATATACGTCAAAATCTTTATATGAACTATCAACATCACATAAAAACATATATGTACGAAAACATGCCCAACTTAAGTGGGCAGGACAGATTGGCAAGTTGTCCAGCCATAGAACAATCACCAATTTCAAAAAATCTTTTATGTTTAAGGATCCATTTTATTTTTAAAGTGTTAAAATATAACACCAATTCTTAACATTAAAACATATGTTAGGGTCTATTTTTTAGAAAAATATTTAAAAGGACCCAACCAATTTTTTAAAATACATAAATAGGTCCAAATATACTAAAACTTTAGGGGAATTTGGTATAAAATGCCATTTTCAAAACTTATTATTTTAAAACTGCCATTTCCAACTTTGTATTTTTTTAAATACCATATTTATTATTATGTCAAATAAAAAGGATAAAAAAGACAAAAAAATCTGACATGAGCTGGGACACCTTTACAGGTCTAACATTAGTTATAGACATTAATTAATAGACATGTATTTTTGTGTCGACACGCTTTGCTGTATTATGGACAAGTTGGATTTACTTTACTATATATGAATGATGGACAACAAATTAGGAAACAAAAAATAGACATATTACAACCACCAGATATAGTCCACCGGATCTAGTTCATCTAGACACAAATATGTGAACCAAAGTGTATACTTTGATGGATCGTTGATGATGTCTTCCATAGATGCATCATTTTTTCTATCTTCTTCTCAATTAGTTGTGGTTTCAAGAGATCTATGGGATAGACAAGTTTTGGTCTACCGATTCCGGTCTATCAGTTCTGGTTCATCGGAACTGGTTATGGACCGTTGGAACTTGTCCGCCGGATCTGATCTACTGGAACTGGTCTATCGAGACTGGTCTGCCGGATCTCGTCTGTCGGCACTGGTCTGTCGGATCTGGTTATGGTCTGTTGAAAGTAGTCTGTGGGAATTGGTCCGCCAAACTAGTCTGCTGGAATTGTAAAGAAATTTGTTTGTTGTTGAAGAAAGAAAAAATGATGAATGAAGAAGAGAAAGAAAAAGATGAATGAAGAAGAGAAAGAAAAATATGAAAGAAAAGAGATAAAGTTTTAAAATGATAAATTTGTAATTTGAATAAGTTAAAAGTGGGTCCTATGGCATTTTATAAAAGATTGAATTGAAAGCGGCATTTTTCACAAATTTGGGTATTGTTCATGGCATTTCACAATTTTCTCAAATTTAGTGTATATATGTTAAGCGTCCAAAATTTTTTTTTTTGCCCTAAGCCTCTTAATATTTTGGAACCGGGGCTATACAAACAGAAGATACATATAAAACACCATAACCATAGCTTTTA